AGTGCGATTTGCCCCGGTCGCGGGCAACCCTCTGCGGGGATCGCGCGCGTCGAGTTTGTAGTACAACTTTAGTACGCGGAGCAATCTGTGGAGCTGGGAGCTGAGAACTGGCGACTTTGTAGTACAACTTGAGTACGCGGAGTATCTGGCGAGCTGGAAGATGAGAACTGGCGACTTTCTAGTACAACTTTAGTACGCGGAGTATCTGGGGAGCTGGAAGATGAGAACTGGCGACTTTGTCAACTTTAGTACGTGGAGCAATCTGTGGAGCTGGAAGCTGAGAACTGGCGACTTTGTAGTACAACTTATTTAGTACGCGGAGTATCTGGGAAGCTGGAAGATGAGAACTGGCGAGTTTGTAGTACAACTTTAGTACGCGGAGTATCTGGGGAGCTGGAAGATGAGAACTGGCGACTTTGTAGTACAACTTTAGTACGCGGAACTGGCGACTTTGTAGTACAACTTGAGTGCGCGGAGTATCTGGGGAGCTGGAAGATGAGAACTGGCGAAGTTGTACAACTTTAGTACGCGGAGCAATCTGTGGAGCTGGAAGCTGAGAACTGGCGAAGTTGTAGTGCAACTTTAGTACGCGGAGTATCTGGGGAGCTGGAAGATGAGAACTGGCGACTTTCTAGTACAACTTTAGTACGCGGAGCAATCTGTGGAGCTGGAAGCTGAGAACTGGCGACTTTGTAGTACAACTTTAGTACACGGAGTATCTGGCGAGCTGGAAGATGAGAACTGGCGACTTTCTAGTACAACTTTGGTACGTGGAGTATCTGGGAAGCTGGAAGATGAGAACTGGCGACTTTGTAGTACAACTTTAGTACGTGGAGCAAGCTGTGGAGCTGGAAGCTGAGAACTGGCGACTTTGTAGTACAGCTTTAGTACGCGGCTGAGTCATCTCTCGCGGCTGCTCTGGCGCCCCTGCAGCTGAGTCATGTCTCCCGACCACCCGGCTCTCTTGAGAGGTTGACATTTTTTTGCTACTTTGCTTACTCATAAGTGGTTGCCACAAAAGAGTCATCGTGACGTTAGTATGTGTTTGCTTCACCTTCATGACAAACGATGTTCGCTTGGAATACACGAGTCGCTTGTCATGATCGTGACGTCGTTTACTCTCAGGTCGCCCTGTTCGTAGAAACTTCAGTGTGAAATGTACGTTCTTCAGTTCTATTTGAACCTCTTCAGCGTTGTACTTGCACAACTAAGGTTGACGTTGCGCTGTCGTTGCATCGACGCATCTACGTCTACAGTACACCCCCTCACCTCTCTACATTTACATCTTCACACGCTCACATCCGCAGATCTACCTCTCCACCTCACCACACCCACGCATCTGCGCATCTATATATCACATCTGTACATCCACACTGTCGCTCCTTCGCATCTGTCCTGTCTTCCTTTCTTTCTACATATCTTTTCTCTCGTCTCTGTGCATTTACATCTTCGCACGCTCAAATCGACAGATCTACCTCTCCACCTCCATACATCTACAGATCTATATCGCGCCTGCACATCCACACTGACACTCCTTCACATCCACCCTCTTTTTCTCTCTTTCTATACATCTTTTCGACAGTGCTGGACAATTGCATGTCTCGCTCTCGGGCCAACCGTCGTCTAGTCATGACCTCATGGGAAATGCCATCTGCAGGGCACTGTTTGCTAATAATTAGAGGTGTGAGTGCCTGCAGAGGGCCTCCAAAACAAGATCTTCTTATAATATAGCAAGCAGGAGAAATGCACCGGACAAACACCATGATTAATTCTCACGGCTCCTGAGGTCGCTCTCAAAGCGGAGCCGCCGCTTCTCACTGCGAAGTGGCGCCGAAGGGGTTCGCTCCTCGTCGGAGTCTCCGCCTCAGAGGAGCTACTGGTAGCTTCTTGTTACTAGTAGTAAGGCCAGGAGCTACTAGTGGCGTCCTTGCTCCTAGTAGCGATGCCCTTTGTTACTAGTAGCTTCTTGTTACTAGTAGAGTCGAATTTTGTTCAGAGTGCTGTCTCACACCTGTGGCAACAACCCCCTGCAAACACACTTTGTTGCAAAAGCATGCATCCATTTCGTTGCTGGCACAAAGTTGTTTAGCATGGCCTTGCTCGAAGCAATCCCAGGCAATCAAGTGCTGTAAGATGCTGTAAGTGTATGCTACTAGGTGTTGTTTCTGGTCCTCAGTCTACATTTGCATTAAAGCAGCAAACTCATCAGAGAAGGGACCACTTGACCACTTGAGTGAAGGTCTTCTTTGCCAAAAAGCCCAGATACTTCAAGTGTTCTGTCACGCTTGAAAACGCAAGAAACGGGGAAGTTGCTAGGAGGGCGCGAACCAAATAAATAATGCAAGCGCTTCTTCAAGGAAGCTCGCCCCCCCACCGCCCTAAGGAGAAGCGTGAGCTATCCTGCATCCTGTAGCTAGTAGCAGCCAGCCCTGCCTCTCTATAAACAAGCTCAGTTATCGTTGAGGCATCGTCCCAACTACAAACGGTTCCTGCCACGGAGCCATCTGTTTGAGTTTGACCTGTTGATCTCACGCCGGTGCTGGACAAGAGCGTGTCATTGGTACTGTCTAATGCCTGGGCTGGTGAGCCACAAAGCCTAGCACAGATTAGACTTTCCCACACAAAAATTTGTCGAACAGAAACAGGTATGTTGAGCTATGTGCTGTTTGACGACACTCCCCTTCAAGAGTACTACACCTTGGCCCTACAATACAAGAACAGCATTGGAATAATTGTTAGAAAGTAGTTTCGGGCTAAATAACAATTCTTCTTATTAACTCGGAAGAACGCCCCACCTCTCTCAGCTCCTCCCAGGCCAATCGGCAGTACCTCAGAACAGTACGGAACAGCGCAGAGAGGCTTCTATCAGAAGTTCAATGAAAGGTTTCACTCTAGCGACAACTAAGAGATCCGTTAAGAACCGTTGTCAAGACCAGACCCTTTCGTGTCAGGCACAAGGGTTGCAAGTGGAAGCATCACCCGAGAGCAGTTCTACTCCCTGGAGAGTACCTCTTCTGCCTCAGTGAGCCTGTGGGGCAGGTGACAAAGCCACAGCCAAAAGCCATGAAAACAAGACGGAGATGCAAGTATCAGCTGATTAGGTGACGCAGCAGTGAATGGTGGACTCGTCAACCGAGCAATCATCTGAATGTGGACGAGGCAATGCGCTGGAATTGCATGAAGCACTCGGACCAGGGCCATCTGAGGGCACCCAAAATGAATGATCGGCCTCTGCAACAAATGTTTCATATTGTTTTATATTTCTAATGTTACATTCATTCGCAGTGCAAATGGCCAGTCCAGCTGGGATTGAAGCCTTCTTTTGAAGTGCAAAGGCAAATTGCGCTCTTCCAAATAATGCACGTGTCTGGAGCTCTCTCAATCATCCTGCACCTGTTTGATTGACAACTCCTGGTCCTGACACTGGGCAACTTGGACTCATGTTTGAAGTATGACGAAAGCGTGAAGAAGTTCAAGCGGCAAATGTGAAAGCTGGAAGGTGCATGAGTCAGGGCGTAGCGCCCTCCTCCATTGTTGCCGCTATGGTCATGTGAAGTCGCAACATAAAACTCAAAGGCCAACATAATCTATATAAAAGGCCACCCAGAAGAAAACAACTGTGAGACATCAGGATTGAGGGACTGTCCTCATTGTTTGTTGGAGACGGTCCATGTCTTGTTGTTGAAGCTCCTTGTTGTTCGAGGAAGATGCCCTGGAATGTGTGACAATCTGGATCTGCGAATAACACATGATCGGCCTGGCAATTGAAAGAGCTGTACGTCTCCAAATTTACCTGCACATATGGAACGACCAACCATAATGGCCCCCGATTGCTCAAAAAAAGGGACAAACCTTGTGCTCTGAAGAGCGCCAAATGTCCCTTATTCCTTCTACTCTTCCCAAGCCTTTCTTTCACTTTCTCATCTACTGCGCTCTCTAGACATTCCAAAGATCAACGTCCAAAAACGGCAAGGACAAGTTTTGCTTAACGAGCACGTGCAGAGCAAGTTTGGGTTTGCAGCTGGAAATGGAAGCGAAGGATGGACAGCTACTGACTCGCCAAATAGCGGAGTGTTACAGCCACCTTGGTGCAAGCAAAGCATGAACAACAGTGGTGCCTTTGGAAGGACACCCGAGGTTCCAAGGTGTATGTGGCACATAAATGCAAATGATGCGGTCTGGGCCAGCAAAAAAAAAGAAGGTTTTAGCTATCATCATCCAATGCATTCGACATGTTACTGGCTGCCATTGGCAAATGGATCGATGCTGGTACACAACTGGAGCAGGACTGCGGGTGCACACGGAAGCGCACTGGTAATGGAGTCATCGATGGCACCACTGAGCTTTCCCACAAGCTAGAGGCAGATCATGGCAAATCCATGGATAAACGTGATATATAGACGCCATGAACGGAATGCAGAACACCTTTCAATATGTCAAGAATAAACAAAGATTTGGTTTTTGATCCGTAAGTTCGAGAAGTCCGGGAAGGCAAGAAATCATGCGCGACACTCGTACAGGGCTCTTGCTTCATACTTTTGCAGGACTCTTGTTGGACACTTGTCTTGCCAGAAACTCTGAGGCGACATTCTTGTTGGAAACGTTTGTAAAGCACTCTTGCAGGACACTCTTCTACGACAACCTCGGGTGACACTCTGGTTAACACTCTTGTAGACTCTTGTAGGACACGCTTGCTGATGTATGTCCAGGACGATTTTGCGCAGCACTGTTCGGACACTCTTGAAAGACACGCTTGTAAGACACTCCTAAGCAGACTCTTGTGCGACACTTTTGTCGGACTTGCTTGTGGGACACACTTTCGACGACACTCTTGCAAGTCACTCTTGCCTGCGACTCTTGAAGAATGCTCTTGTAGCCTACTCTTGTGTGACACGCGTTCCGCAAGTGTCGCGTCCATCTGAAACGCAGCCCACATGTCAAACAGCACCGCCAAGGCCTCGCACCTTGCAATCCAAGCGCCTCCGACATGCACAAAAGTATGGAAAGTGAGTTCTACAGACCTGACATCTGTCCAACATCGCAACTGTACCTGACATCTGTCACGAGAATGCAGCTTCAAAACAAACTTGGATCTACAGAAAGTGCGACATTCAACCCCTCCAAAGCACCACCCTGAAAACCCAAAAGAAATGGCACTGCGACACAAAGCGCAGACCTTGCGAACAGTTGCCGATTTGGGCACACTTATACCGTATGCCATCAAGAGTCACGTTTCCGCAGACTCCTAGTGGACCGTCCGCGACGCATTCGGGAAGAATTGGGGTTAGGAGGTCTAAAAATGTCTACTAAAGCAGAATGCCTCAGCTATTGTCAACTTATCGGCCACTTATCGGCAACTTGTCATGTTGGGATCAAAAACACTGTTAGTCTTAGGTCATCGACTTCACCAACATAACTAACGGTTCAACGTGTACATTCCGCAAAAAGGGAAGTGAAAAGGACGGGGCCTTTAATCAGGACCCCTGGCCTTAATAAAAAAGAAACCCAAAGCCCGTCCTTTTCCTTCCTTTGCATCTACTCACTCCTTAGAAAAGAGTCTAGTTCACCAACTGAAGGCCATTGACCTCACGCGGACTGAGCCTGGATGAATTCCCTCTAGCCTGCGTTCACGGTCACTTTTACCAACACCGAGATGGAACTTGGATTGGTGCTCAAGGTGCAAGGCGGAGGCAGGAGCATGACAGAGCATGAAGCACAGATAGCACACTGAGTAGAAGCTGACGTCCACGTTAAGGTTTCGACCAGGCTTACATGTGCAACTGTAGCAGGACAACACTCCAGCGTCCGGAACAGAGTCTTGCCAAACAGCTACATTGTGTTTGAAAGCTGCTTATGAGAAGAAATGAATCTGATTCATTGGGTGACGAGGAAAATCACACTTAGCTGCTCGTCCACGGAAAGCATGCAGCCTTCTTTCATATTGACAATTTTCATGCATATCTTGACAAGTGCCTCATCCAACGTCCTCAATCGGCACACCCCAACATTGGGGCAACCTTCCAACATTGCAATTGAGACACTGGTGCTCACCCATAAGGCCCAGGTCCATGTATCCAAGCAAGCCCACAGCTGCCAACCACAGGAAATCCTGGAAAAACACAATACAACATGCCAATAGCAGCCTCTGCATGCCTCTGCCTTGTGGATTCTGTCAAGATTCCACTGTCATGCATTCCGATTAAACAAAGGGGCATGTGCCATGATCCATACACACAACAATGTGTGCTTGGGAATCATCCTTGCCATGTTTTTGTTCATGACAGATTTGACACACTTAGAACTTCTCACGCAACCACTCTGGCATGAGTTCAAAAATATGTGTGTTCCAACACAGGTGTCCCACGTTCTGCAATCACCTTGAAGCGCTTCACACAGTGGTTCTTGCTTTTGCACCTTCAACATTTGTTGTCAGAGCTCTATATACTGCAGAGCGATCAGAATATTCATTCAACTGCATGGCAGCAAACACACGTGTTGTTTTCAGGAGTTTCCACGAGATTCTTGAGAGCCTCCATGTCGAAACCCTGACTATTTCAAATCAAACGTTTGTACTCGTGTTTCTGCTGCTATCGCTGTTGGCACAATGCGGACATGCAGTCCACTGCTCTGCTGCCCAAGCTTTATGATCAAATTCTATACATAAAATCCATCCTAATAGCTATCGCCTCCAAACTAATGGCAATGGCATCCACCCTATTAGCGATCCAACCTATTAGCTATGGCTTCCAACCTAAAAGCCGTGGCCTCCACCCTAATAGCAATGGCCTCCACCCTATTAGCGATCCAACCTATCAGCTATGGCCTCCAACCTAAAAGTCATGGCCTCCACCCTAATAGCAATGGCCTCCACCCTATTAAGGATGGCTTCCAACCTAATAGCAATGGCCTCCAAAGTAGTAGAAATGGCCTCCACCCTATTAGCGATGGCCTCCAACCTAATAGCGATGGCCTCCAACCTAATAGCAATGGCCTCCACCCTATTAGCGATCCAACCTAATAGCTATGACCCTCCAACCTAAAAGCCATGGCCTCCACCCTAATAGCAATGGCCTCC